ACTGGTCATTCATTACCTAGGTTACTTCATACTCACATTCTTATAGGCACTCCAGACTTTTTGGTTCAGCAGGCCAGGTTTTCCTCTCCCCACCCCATAACTGAATCCCTTTCCTGGTGTCCCTTCTCAATAGTTTCTGGGATTTTTATTATTGTTAGAGCACCATACCTTCTAGAAATCTTTTATCATTTGTTTGAATGGGAAGGGACCTCAAAAATCCACTAGTTCAATTGCCTATCCAGGGCAACAACTCACTTTACCTCACATCCTTATCAAGTGACATCTAGCCTTCGTTTTAGTATTTCCAAGGATAGGAGTTCGGGCTTACTTGGATAGAATTTGTGTTCACTTTTTTCCCTATATATGAATTATACTTTCTTGTTTCTTTGCATGCCTCATAGTATTTTTGTTGAAAACTGAGTGTTTAAATAACATAATGTAGCTACTCTTGAAACCAGTCTCACTCTTCTCCAAGGTTTGGTGTGAGAGTTTTTTGTTGTGTGTTTATTTCTGTGTTTAGTGACTTTTCTGAACTAATTCTGTAAATTCTGTGATTTTTGTTGTATGTGAACACTAAAGTCCCTGCTTATTTAGCTTAGTGGTCATCTAATACTTGTACAGTGATTTCCTCAGACACTTGGAATCAACAATTCTACTGATCTTTGCTGAGGGGCGTGAATGTTGAGACACACTCGACACTCAGCCAGTCAGTTCACAACTCTGCCTTACCCTTCACTCCCTGTTTCTACAAAGCCTCAAGATCAGCCTGAAGTGAGAGCATAAGGCTTTCTCCAGTCTTTCCTGAGCTTATGTATGATCCTGGGCATGCACAGAACCCTGGGCATGCATTTAGGCTTTCTAGATTTCCATAACATATTGGAGCTTTTCAAAGCTCCTATGAAAATCTCATTTCCCAGCTTTTCTTTCTAAGATTTTTGTTTAACCTATTGCTTTTCCCAACTGTTATACCTTGCCTCAGGCAGCCACAAAGATAACTAATTACTTCTAATTGTTTCAACAGGTTTTTCACACTGGAAAGCTTCAAGTCAGGTCAGATAAAGATAGCCTTGCAA